AAACCGTGGGAATGACCGCTTCTGATTGGCCAGTTTTTCATGTCGTCAAAACAAGTCAAACAATTGATCTCTGTTATCTTATACAGGAATTGCTGTAAGCGGATTAATTCTACGGCTAAAGGCGAAGGAGTTGAGCAGTGATCCAGACTTCAAAGCCTCACTGGGTTGCTACCAGAGATGGAAAAAGCGCCATTCCATCAGCCTTCGCACTAGGACAACCCTGGCCCAGCGACTCCCACAAGATCTGGAAGAAAAGATCATCCAGTTCCATCAGTTCGTGATCGCACTTTGGCAGCGGTATGGCCATTCGCTCTCCAGGCTGTTCAATATGGATGAAACTCCTATGCGATTCGAGCTTCCGTCGAGCAGAACCAACAATGATTTACATGTACCTACCCTTCGTGATCTCGGAAATTTGTGTTTGTTGATAATCGCTCGGCTTACAGTCGAATAAACATTGAATTTCGAATCTTGTTAAGCACCCTTAAATATTTTTTGGCGAAAATACACGGCTATAAGCCGAACCCCCTTCCTTGGCAAGAATTTACCTGTTCTGAGTTTGATTTGTTGGAAAAATCGCTCGGCTTATAGGCGAACAAATACGGTAAATCACCCTGAATCATTTCCCCGAAAAATCCTCTGGAGATCCAAGAGAACTACCTTCCGCTTCCCAAAACCCAGATTTCTGGTCATTTTGTATAGCACATAGTTAAATCACGGGCTACTTTTGACCTATTTTTAATCTAGTTGGAAGTAGGTCAGATAAATTCAATTAGATTGTGTAAATAAATGCTCAAGAATTGCTTAAATTGCAATCAACTTATGTTTTGATGTTGTTTTTCAAGATTTGGTACTTTTTATCAATCCAGGTTTTTTCATTTTGGGACGCAATGCTCTGAGATGTCTGAAATTTTGAGCCTCAAAAGCCACATTTTGGGGGAATTCAGTTGTTATCGATTTTCTAGAAAATAAATCAAAATTTAGCCAAATGAAGTATGAAGTGGTTTATTTCCCATTGAGACCTACTTCACTTTGAAATATGGGCAAAATTGATTTTTCAGATGTTGCCATCAAAATGTTTGACCATTGGTAACATTCGCTCTTAAGAAGGGTGCCACAAACAAAGACTTTAAATTTTTTTAGCTTACATTTTTTTTTTTTTTACACACTAAAGAATTATCATCAGAACAAAATTCTAAACTATAAATAATGGTTAACTACTTTTAGATTTCACAAAAAAACTTTCAGGGTATGAACCTCTTAAAAGCACAATTGCAAATGCCTTAGGACAATGATCAGAAAGAAATGCCAAAAAAATATACAAAGTCATACATAATATACCTTCTTCTGATGGCAGAGTCAAGAGTCCATGGAATATTTGTTGCTCCCAGCACAAGTACATCTTTGTTGTCAACACCAACACCTTAAGATACAATGAATATATGAAGTTCATATAATTTATTTGCCAACACCTTAAGTTATGAAATAACAATAAATGAAATTGCACTCCAGTCCTTCCTCATACAAAACAGACTCCCTCTATCAGCTACACAAAATCCTTACCATACCACTCTTTATGATCCAACAAATATTTTTGCTCGCGTACAGTTGGTTAAAATGCATCACGTGACTGAATATCCCTTAAATAAAAACTAAAATCAATGGAATCTATTCTTATCTTATGCCTTGTGTAACATTCAAGGAATTAATTTTTTCTCTTCTTTGGTCCACATTCTGTAGAAAGCAAATGCTTTATTTACACTGTACAACCTGATCCTTTCACTCTTGATTTAAAACTCAAGATCAGATAGATGTCTTTTATAAAAAACTTACCTTGCATTTGAACCAGAAACTCTGTTTTTATTCTCCTAGCTGATTCACTTTCATTTTCACTTCTTGATCCACACAAGGAGTCCACTTCATCAATAAAAATAATGGCTGGTTTATTGTCTCGTGCCAATTCAAATAGTTGCTTTACAAGCCTGAAAAAATATTCAGATGGGTGTTAGGTACGACCCGAACCCCTTAACTCCCATGAGTGACAAGGAAAGAATTTCTCCTAACAAAATCAATATAATATCAGTACAGACAACTGATGAGAATAAAGAAAAATATTAAACAGGGATTATCAGTTGATCCAATGCTACATTCTCCAAACTAACATCATTTGAATTGCAAAGCAGACAGTTAAGAGAATTACTAAAAGAGATCTTTGGGGTGAAGGAGTTAAAGGGTTTGGACAGGCGTGAACATTTTAGTGGCATTGCTTCCCTCCAGGAATCATTAAAAGCATGACTTTCTATCATCACCACATTATGATGGTAATTGCAGCTGTTAATCCCACCACATGCATTTAATTTTTGAGGCTGTTTTCACTGATGGTTGGACCCAAAGAGAGTTCAGGGTAGAAAACTGTTTGAATCACAAGAGAAGGAGAGTGAAGTTACAGCTGGTTTAATTTATGATACATCAGATTGTTTGAGAGGGAGTGGAATGAGTTTCCTGAACCACTAAGTAAATCAAAACTAATGGTAACCTGGATTACTCAATTGAAGAACATTTGCAAATTAGATTTTCTACTTTTTTCTCAACATAGTCTGTTGTACAAACTGTGAGCCACGGTTTTGGGTTTGCCTTACATCACAAGAGAAATCAATACATGAAAATGTGTCTTCTTACTTGCTAAGTGGATTTGTTTATAAATGTTAATTAAACCAGTAAAAAAAAATTGGCTAAGTTTTCATCACAAGCCAGGAAAAATAACCAAATGACAACTTCTACAAGGAAAACATTATGCGCTGGATTTTACCGTTCACTTTCTCCAAGCCACTTTGACACCAAGTCAGATGATGATATAGATATAAAAGTTGAGTTGTTTGCTTCAGTTGCTACTGCTTTTGCTAAGTAAGATTTTCCTGTACCAGGAGGCTGCAAAATAAAATGAAAATTTTCATAATATATCAATATCCTATTCTCATGTTAGTTGCAATAGATTACCACAAATATTTGAGTTCATGGCATCAGGAAATGAATGTGTCTTACTCCATACAGCAAGATTCCACTCCATGGCTTCCGTTTTCCTGTCATTCAAAACAAGTGATAAATCAGTGGGTATAATATCATTTATTTAACAATCTAAGCAAATTTCACCATAAAAATTACCATTAAAAAACAACAATGTTTCAACCGTTCGATGGTCATTTTCAAGTTAAAAATTTTACAGCATGTGGTTAAAGATATATACTGTCAATAGCTAAAATGCTAATGAGATACTTATTCATTAGTACTTTCATAATTTATTTATATAATTATTTAAGTGTATGCTGTAAAATTTTTACCTTTAAACTTGAAAATGACCATTGAACAGTTGAGATGTCATTGCTTTTAAATGTTACTTTTCATAGTGAAATCTGTTTCTAAAAATTTCTCGATTCAAATCTATGCAAGTTAGACAAAGAACTAACTTCAGTCCTTGAAAGAGACTACCCTCAAGAAAATTGTTGTTACTACAAAATGAAGCATTAATCATCATGTTTAAAATTTACGGTAGGCCTTTGCATACTGCATAAGTTATTTGCTACCTCAATCTCAGCTAATCATGAGATTTCTATTACAAGCTTAACAGTGAATTACCGTATTTTCTTGATTAAACACCCCTGGTGTTTAACTAGATATCGGCAGTGTTGACCTGGTGATTTTTCGAGGCTGGCATTTAATTGGGGTCTGCCATTTTTCTAGGTTGATCTATTATTACCGATCTTTGGAAATCTAAGGGCAGTTTGTCAGTGCTGGACAATTTTTTCCTAGATTACCCGAAGTTACATTATTACGGTACCGTACATGCGGCAAATGTACCAATGTTGCAATCAAGATCTGTATCACTAACAAACAGCACATAAACAACATATGAATGATGTAGAACAAGTAGTAAATGACGTGAATGCAAAGGTTTAAGTTTATAAATGGCAATGTCACAAACGTCCTCCTCGTTTGTGTCAGCCAATGTGTACAAATCATTTAAGTTTTGATTACATGCTAATCTTCGTAAACCACAATTTCATTAAGTTCTTCTTCGTAGATGTCTGGCTCCAAATCCGCAAAGGGGTCATCTTCATTTACAGGAGTGCCTTGTTCCAGCACTTTGAAAAATGCTGAGGCCCTCTCCATAAACTCCTGCTTTCCATCACTTAGTGGGCTGTCTGCTTTAAAACAGTGGATTTTCTTGTCCTCAGATCCGTCTATAGGTAATGAGACAGCACAGGCTTCAAAACTATTTCTTATTACGTCATTTGGGAGGCTTTCCCAGGCTGATCAAATTCTTTCAACACAGCTGCGCCTTGAAAGTGCCTCAATTCGACCAGCTGGAGTTATTTTGTGCCCTGTTTCTGCCATCCAGTCATCATACGCTATCTGACACAGATCCTTGAATGGCTTGTTCCATGACACGTCAGGAGCCTGGATGTATTTCGTGCACCCACCAGGTACTAATGCTATATTGACGCCAGCCTGTCGTAGCGCTTCTTTTACTTCATTTGTCGTGTGACATTTGTATGTGTCCCAGACAAGAAATCTTGGAGCAAAAGAGAAGCGGCCTACAACATACTGTACCCATTTGGTATTTTTCCTACTCTATACATACTGTTCTGTATTTTTCCGGTATTTTTCCTTTGAACATTTAGTAAAATACCAAAACAGCATACTGTACTTAGTATGTCGTAACAGTGCCATTCAAGAGGTTACTATTTACTTGTAATCGGTCTTTGTGATCTCGACCCCAAATAAATGCCGGGTCCCCGATTAAACGCCCCCCAGTGTTTAATTAAAAATCGGCAGTTTTAACCCGGTGTTTTTTTTAGGCCGGCGTTTAATCGGGGTCCGGCGTTTAATCGAGAAAATACAGTATGTATAAACCAAATTTCTGGAAAGATGAAAACTTAATTGATAAGTAAAAAATCAATTCATTGTTCATTAATTAAAACACTAGTGTGCTGTTTTTGAAATACAAAATTTTCCACACACTCGATTAACCTGTGGATTGTGGATTACTGTATCAAAAAATAAATGGTGTTGAGCCAAAATCAATCATTTGTTTATTCTCCTAGATACAAGTAGCTTTTACCACAGCATCAAATTACATCTGGATGATGCAGAATACAAATATGATTGTTCTTTCAGAACTGTAGAACTGGGCTTTGACAGAGTTCAGATGGATCTTATTCAAAGTTGCAACAACTATGAAATAAAACTTAAATTTTCAAAATCTGAAAGTAAAAATGAGGGCAGTTGTGTCATTGTTTACCTGTGAATAAATGGGGAAATTTTATTGGTAAAATGACAGCTTCCTTCAGAGCTTCCTTAGCTGAGTCTAAGCCAGCAACATCAGACCACTGCACATTGGGTTTTTCCATGACAATAGCACCTTGGAAAAGAGAAACAATCAAGTTCCTAAGAGCAATTTTACAAAGCACCAAAGGTCCTATTATATTTTGAGCAACTTTTCGTGTTTAGCAAAACTACCTTTAATTTGATGGAGACCTAGTATTACTTAAGTTGGAAAGAAGAAAACAAAAGAGGTAAAAATACACCAGGAAGAACCGAGGATGGTTAAGACTGGAGAGGATGAATTCAAAGTGGTTTTAAAATGATGCATGTTCTGGAGTGCAAATGCACAAACCACGTGAGCTTTTGAACACATCTTATGAATTAGATGGGGAGTGGAAAGGTGAAAGGAATAGACAGAAAAATGATCTGTACAGCAAATGACCTAACAGGAGTTTCATTACTGTTTTCAGCAGGAGGGCAACTGGTTTTCACAGGTGGGCAAAACTTTTTTAACTGAACCTCTTTATAAGATAAACTTTCCTCCAGATCGTCAAACCAGGTGGACAAATTCATCCTCCTGACTGCTCAATTTGCCCAGTGCCAAGCCCTTAATGAAACACCTGACCAAAGATACTCCTGAAAACTAACTGTACAACACAGTAAGAAGGAGAACGTGGACTTAGGTCTAAAGAGGGTTTAAGAGGTTGAGTACTACTCACTGTTTAATTGACCCCTAAGTTTTTTCGTTTCTGCGTCATCTTCTTCATCACTGCTATCCTCTTTATTGCCATCTTTGCCACTGCTGGAAAAAAAAAAAAATGAAGCACATATGGTTACATGATTGTTATTCATTAATCCTTTCACTCACAGAACTGACCACATAGAAATTAGTACTTTAAGTATCATTCAAATTTCAAGAAAAAAATGTGCAAAAAAGAGAGAAAAATCCCAACAAGGGGAAATCCTTTGATTAAATGCAGCAAATTGTCAATGCTAAATTATTAGAAATATGTGTCTGGCAGTCTGGAGAACTGATCATGGACATGAAAAGGTTAATAAATTATTGTCTCTTTTAATTTAAATTAATTTAGTCCATTTTCACTGCATTAAGTTTTGCAGTGGGGAAGGACTAGAAAGGAACATAGGAACCATTCATGCTAGTCCACCCTCCCACCCATCCCACCCCAGGGGAGGACATCCATCACATAGTAATCTCGTGTGTGGGAAATTAACGTCTCTTACCCCTAACCCTGCAGAAGACGGGACCTCCATTTATTCATCCCTATCCAAGAAGACTACAATATCTAACCATTTCTTGATGTTATAGAAAGATAGCAAATTCTTCTCAATTATTTTAAGACCCTGAGCGTTGGTCCGGCTGGGGCTCGAACCCTCCACCTCCCGCACAACAGTCCAGTGCTCTATCCATTGAGCTAACCGGGAGGCAGTTAGCTCAAGGATAGAGACTATTGGACCAGGTAGCAGGATAAATCTGCGATTATTTAAGGCAACATTTAAAAAAATAATTTTAGATAAAAAAGAAACTTGATCCACAAAACTCATTCAACCCTATTAGGATTCACAAATTTCTTTTTTTGATAGAAGATCAATAAAATTGCATACAGCAGTATTTTTAAAGGTTGTTCCCACAAGAGTATTATAGTAACCAAAGCAACAAAATTGGATGGCTTTATCCAAAAAGGTAATTTGCAACTTTTTTTAGAATGCAAATTCTTTTTTCAATAAATGTGATGGTGGAAATTTGGAGTTACTTTAGGACAATCTTTTCACAAAATTGCTGTATTGAAATAAAAGTTACAAACCCTTTGTTGCTTTCTTTTCCTCCTCCTGATGATGCGACAGGTTTCTTTTTGTCTTTGCTTTTTTTAAGAAATGTCTTAAGCTTCTCAGCCCGTTCAAGGTATTGAACACACTTTAGTCTGATGCTCTCTTTGGACTTATCGCCATGAGCTTCATCTTAAGGTTCAAAAGAGACGAGAAAATAAGGAACAAAGATTGACTAGTTGACCACTATTAAAGTATTACAAGGTGCATATTTGACTTCAATATTAGTAAGTTTTATCATAACATCCATAGTAACTGCAAATGGCCCATTTTGACTAGCACTGGCTAATGTGTGGAACAAATCAAAGCCTCAATATCCCCACCCCCTCCCCTGGCCAATCCATAAGGATTTGACTGTTGTCCATGCTAAGGGGTGGGGAGTTTGAACTTGGCTCGGGTGGGGTGGGAATTTGAAACAGAATCATCAAGTCTTTCCAGTGGAATCCACCCGTGTTATCTTTTAATATCGAGGTGTTTATAGGTAAAGAGTTCACTTTTGCGAGCAGATGACTCATAGGAGTCATCTGCTTGCAAAAGAGGCATACATAGGTCTACAAGAAAGTCACAGTTGCTGATCTAGCCTATTACCAAAAACTTGATCATGAAATCTAGCACTAGGGCAGGGTGTTCAAACACTATTTTGGCCCTAAGGGGAGGAAATTTGATCAAACCAATCTTCAAAGGTTCCTCCCCCCCTTGGGGTTACCCAGGGGGGGGGGGATGTTAAAGCTTTGAATTGCTCATTGCATAATCACACACCAGGTCAATTCTAACACTGTAAAATAAGGAGAGGAAATAGGGATTATTGCTACTATTATTCTTGTTAAAAATTCTTCATTTGGCCTTCTACAACACAATGAATTTTTTGTTGAGTGTCTGAATAAACTTTTCTTAGAACTGGCTTGGAGGGATTTCGTCAGGAAATACATCACAAAGGGTCATGTGTCAGCAAATGGAGAAAATCATCTATGTCTATGTAAAAAATAGCTTAGACCAACTAGATTTAGAAGAAGAATTTAAATGCAGAATTTTCCAATCTTTGATGCCCAGTGAGCACTCTTTACCTGTAAGGGAGAAAGTTATTTCTGGGTGAGAAAGGTTTAAGAGTTTTTTCCTTTAATAGCAGGGTTGGATCATGAGCTTACATGTATTAAATAAAACCTGTCAAATTAAATTCTGTTTACATGACGTGAAGTGATTGGAACACTTTTCACTCCTTACAGGTGGAAAACTAACTATCTCTGCCAGTAAATTTAAAGCAATTAATGCCAACTGCATTAAAGCACCTGTAAAATACATTACAATTTAAGTTTCAGACTCTTAAATAAAGAGTCCTTTTGGACTTAAAAGCAGTTTTTGTTCAGTTAGGGAAACAGTAGAAATCTACTAAATAGCAAGTTTTGTCCTGGGTGATAATGCGATGATATTATTCAGGAAACAAGTTCCATGTTTTTCACTTTAAAATGATATTAAAGTATATTTTCCTCAAACTAGAAGACAACATTAGGGGTGGTTGCATGAACCATATTTAAAGTGCCTATGAAATGAATTTTTTTCTTGGTTTTTCTTAGCTTGATGCATATAAAAAATGATTTTAACCTTTAATCTGGGCGGAAATGTCTTCAAACCCCTTTTTTTTTAGTTCAAAACACACGCTACCTGCGAACAAAATTGTCCCCTCTTCTGCACAGCCAAAATGTTAAATGATTTTCTTTCGTGACATCAAGTTGTGTACAGCCATCGAAACTAACATGGATGACAGTGCAGCAAAAAGAGTGATTCCATAATCTATAGAATCAGCAGAGTGAAACTCGCTCAAATAAATGAATGACTTGCCTCTCACCTCCACACGTTCCGCAACTTGGTGTTTTGTGTACTAAAAATTACGTCAGGAAGGCCGTCGCAAGGGTTGAACTAGGTCTCAGACCCTGAGACAATTTTCACTACAAAATAGTACTTTTTAGAGGGCACAAATTCAGGTTTGAAAACCTTTCAGCCAGATTGAAGGTTAGAATCGTTTTTTATATGCATCAAGCTAAGAAAAAGCGAGAAAAAAAATTCATGTCATAGGCACTTTAACAAATGGCCTAAGTTTCGCTTATAATTCCTTCTTTTGGTGAATGACTAGTGTGGCTACACTAATCACAAATAAATTTGAAAAGTGTAACTACTGATTGACAGGAGATTAAGTCCGTCTGTAAAAGAACAACAGAGAGAACCTCTTGTATACCAAATAAAATCCAGAGGAATCTCTGTCAAACGGAATAACAAATAAGAAGTGAAAACAGTTAAATACCTCAAATTAATCTGTACTTACATTTTATAGCATGCAAAAAATATTCCACACCATGTTCATAGAGTCTAAGGGCCTCTTCGTAATTTCCATTTTTATCTTCTTCTGTAGCCTTAGTTACAATATCTATAGCTTTCTGCAAACATGACAAAAGGACACAGTAGATTGAAAGCTTGAATGTTTTGTGAGGCGCTAGAAGTAAATCAGAGGTTTTTGCAGGTTTTCCTGAGTCGCCACGGCTTACGATCAATTTGGGAAATCTTTGAAACAAAACATTTTCTTCAGCGCAAACAATAACATCACCTTTAAAGTGCCTCCTTCTGACATAGCTGCAGGTAAATCACACCAGCCTAGCAGATGAAGCAAAGGGAAAGAATCCTCTGCTAATCAAGAGGAACTCACAGAAACTAAAATGGCTGCCAATTCTAGGAATACCGCTGGTCAGGTTTATGACCTCGGTTTGACGTCAACCTCTAAAAATAATAGACTTACTGACGTCATAATAATTTTCAGCGATGATATATCTAACTTATGATATAGATTCTGTACTCAAACTGGTGCAGATATCTCTGGTATGCATGAAAAAATTTTGTGAAGCTATGGCAAAGGCTGTAAGCCTCCAAAACGAACAACAAAAACCAAAAAAATCTCCCAGGCGCCTCACTGCCTGACGTGCAAACTCTTTCGTCGATAGAATCTTTCGACAGACTGGCGGGGAGCCTCAGGGACATTTCATTTAATCTAGAGAGGAGAATATGGGTTTGGAGAAAGAGAGAAATATCTCCCTCTCAAACTGATATTTCGTTTTAAATCATTTTGGATGTAAAGGTTGAAATTTTTCCGGCAGCCTGAGATCTAACAGCTTTTTACCCCCCCCCCCCCTCCATTCTACCGCTGTTAACCCCTATTAGGCAGAAAAAGCTGATTTGTTGCTGCTAGAAGCAATCTCACTTTTTTCCAATAGAAAAGTACAAGAAGTTTTTGTTTCTCGTGAAGTTACGAGATGATTTGCAAAGAATGAAACAGATCACAATGCACAAATTCTTTTAGCATTCATATGCTTCCAAATTGAATGAAAAAGGAATTAGGAAGTAATTTAAAAAAGATAGTTTTCTCTATGCAAGCTTTATGAAAAGGGTCCCTTTACTTTAGTTGGTAAGGATGTAATACAGGCACAGAAGGCTTTTGAATTTGATCGGTTACTGAAGCTGAGCACTCCCTCTATAAACCAATAGGGGTGACCAACTGTGGGGTGACAGATAGCAAGATACCCCTGATGCTCAAAGATGACAAAAAAAACTGAGAAAGAACTGGGAGAGATGAGTAAATGTTTGAATCAAACTTAAAAATTATTATCTATTCTAGATATACTGTTTTATGTAGTTGGATTCTTCAAGACGATAGCAAGGTCGTTTCAAGTACATATGACATAAATCGACTTTGCGAACATTCTAAAAAATGAGATTGTTCAGTTAACAAATAGATTCCATGTTTCCTTGCTACTGGTGTTCCTACCACATTTTGAAGTAATCTTTAATCTATCTCAGTGCAGACCCACGCCATCATGGAATCTGTTTGTTTTGTATGATGAGAAAGTAAACTGTTGTTAATGGCGACGTCATCTACGAGTTTGTCTTCCAACAGATCACAAATAAGAACCAATCAGAATGAATCTATAATTCACCTTATCATATTAAAGAGAAAGTACGGTCTAGGCAAAGTTTATCTCAATAAGAAGAAATTTTCCTCAGGAGTTTGAAAATAACTGCCATTTTATCCAGTTTGCTTTGTACTGGCGACAAGAGCGCTTTGAAGTTGGCCATTTTTACGACTTTCGTGGTTAGGAAAACGCCATCTTGGGTATTACATCGGTTGTGACGTACAAAAGTCAAACTTTGTTCGGCGCTTTGTCCTTGTTGACCTGTTTGACCTTTGTGAAAACAATTTCTAATACTCCTAATAATTGAAATGAGGTGAACTGTTGTGGGGTTGAATGTCAAAATACGCACCAAAAGTCAAAAGGAAAATGTGTAAGCCTCCACAAGCTACCGGAAGTGAAATATTACTGAAAAGTTTTCCGGCAACTATAACCCGCGAGGACAGCTTGCCAAACCCGCTGCAAAACTTAAGACTTCTGGCGAGATATACAAGCATATAAGTTTTCCTTGTTGACCTTCACTTCGAGCTGAAAGCTATGCTTACCTTTTCCATATTCAACACAAATTTCAGTCATTTCTCATATGAATTTTTTCAAACCATTTTATTGCAAGTGAATAAATTGAAGCTCGAAATGGTGGTACACACGGTATGTGATAAATTCTCTGTCGCCACCCTTGACCAAAGCCCATTTTCAACATCGTGCAGAAGAAGAAGAAGAGGAAGAAGAAAACTTTATTTAACGAGGGTAAAACACATTGATTACTGGTCACCCAGTAGTTTTCATAATGGCCCCCCTACAATTAAAAGTCATAAAACATATCGATCAAATTAATTAACTATCAGAATAATCTACAAACTGAATTTATATAATGAACAACTAATATAACGATATTATTCAATTAACTACTGATAAAACTAGAAGGTTTTACAGATCTTAAAATGATCAATATAGGAATTCTTATTACGGTAGAGTAATAATAAGTAGAGTAATAAGTAATTTTTAAAATTTGTATGGGAGAGTGACCTAAGTTTTGGATCAAGAGTGTTCCACAAACGACAAGCGCTCAAGTAAAACGTTCTGAGGCCAGAGTTCCTTTTACAGCCTGGTGTTTTTATATATATTGTTATTGGAAACTGATCTCGTGTTATAATTAGAGGTATTGCTTATATATTCAATGTATTTATTAAAATAAGCGGGGTAATGTCCTTGATTTATTTTATGAAGCATACAAAGCTTCCTAATGCGTATAATATCGTCTATAGGCGGCCAATCTAGTTTGTTAAAAAGCTTGACAGAGTTTTCATGAGTATCGGCGTCTAAAATTAGCCTAGCACATCTTTTCTCTTGTCTTAAAACTCTTTGAAGATTCCCAACGGTACTGTAACAACTGAAACACTGTATACTCACTTAAGGACAGTTACAGCAGAGAACTATTTGCAACTATGTCTATCAACAACACAGATGTTAAGTTTCAGCTGGACTCAGGTGCAACGTGCAATGTCATTACCTCAGAGGTCCTTCAGCGTAGTCACTGTGATGCAGAGATCACCCAAACAAGCAAAATACTCTCTATGTATAATGGTACAACCGTGAGACCCGTAGGCCATTGCAAAGTAAAGATGACAAACCCAAAGAATGGTCGTAGATATCTGGTTAATTTTGAAGTTCTACCAGGCTCCCCAACGCCAATTCTTGGAAACAAAGCTATTCAACAAATGGAGCTGATCAAAGTGCTAGAAGAGAACATTAAAAGCGTTAATGCAGAGCAGACAGTAGTAACCAAAGAATCACTTTTGTAACAGTATCCGCAAGTATTTGAAGGCATTGGATGTATGCCAGGCAACTATCACCTTGTTGTTGACTCATCTGTCAAGCCTGTAGTACACCCTCCAAGGAAGGTACCCCTGTCTATGAAAGGAAAGGTAGAGGCAGAACTTCAACGACTGACTGAGTTAGAGATTATTGAGCCCATATCTAAACCTACCCAGTGGGTTTCAAGCATGGTAACTGCACCAAAGCCAAATGGAGAAATCCGAATCTGTATAGATCCAAAGGATCTAAACAGTGCTCTGCAACGAAGCCACTACCCGATACCTACTATGGATGATATACTTCCTAGGCTAAACAAGGCCAAAGTTTTTAGTATAGTTGACTATAGAAGTGTGGCTTCTGGCAGATTCGTCTGGACGATGAAAGTGCTGACTTGACCACCTTCAACACCCCCTCAGACTACGGATGCCATTCGGTATATCCACTGCACCAGAAGAATTTCAAAGGCGACAGCATGAAGCGGTTGAAGGTCTACCTGGTGTGATATCAGTGTATGATGATATCCTAATTTACGGAAAGGGTGATACAGAGCATGAAGCCGTGGTCGACCATGACAAGAACACGCGAGCTCTAATGGAAAGATGCAAAGAGCAAAACATCACACTTAATAAAAAAGACAACAAGATCCTGCTCAAGAAACCTGAAGTGCTCTTCCTAGGCCATCTACTAACTGCCAATGGAGTACAGGTAGACCCTGGGAAAATTCGTGCCATTACTGAGATGCCCAAACCTACAGATTAAAGGCGTGCAGCGATTCCTAGGCCTTGTTAACTATCTAAGTAAGTTCCTGCCCAAGCCGAGTGAAGTGTGTGAGCCCCTACGTCAATTGACATTGAAGGAAACCGAGTGGTGCTGGCTTGAGGCCCATGACAAAGTTTTCCAAGAGATCAAGCTGCTTCTCACCAATTCTCCAGTACTGCGATCATACAACCCTGAAGAAGAGCTCACCCTACAGTGTGATGCTTCAGACAAAGGCTTGGGTGCTGCACTTCTGCAGCAAGGACAACCCGTAGCTTTTGCAAGCCGCGCTTTAACAGCATGTGAGATGGGATATGCGCCTATTGAGAAAGAGGTACTGGCTCTTTTTTATGGGATGGAACGATTCCATTATTACACCTATGGTCGAAAGGTGGTAGTTAACTCTGACCACAAACCTCTGGAGTCAATTATAAGGAAACCTCTACACATGGCACCAAAGAGACTGCAGCGAATGTTGCTTCGGCTTCATGAATATGACATAACTCTTAAGTATTTGAAAGAGACTGAAATGTTTTTAGCCGACACCTTGAGTAGTACCTACCTCACCGATGAAGCTCCGAGTGCCTTTACAGAAGAGCTTACAATGATCAATGCCACTGACTTTGGATACCTAACTGCTTTGCGTCTTGAAGATATTGCTGAACACTCCAAGAAAGACCCGGTACTCGTAGGACTGGAAAGAATGATTTGTAGCGGTTGCCAACAATACCATACATTGTTACAGGTACAATTACCCCAGACCGTGCAACAACACTCTAGAATTGGCTAGATGAGGGCAGTATATAACATTTTTCTGTAAGCTAAGGTTAAATAAACTTTAGCTCTTTTAAGAAGACAAATTCTAGAGTTCAATTTTTTGATCAAATGGTCAAGATGTAAGTTCCACTAAAGATTTTGGTCAATGACGACTCCAAGCAGCCTCTCTCCCGCTGCCTCTCCCAGCCTGATGCCACCGATATGAATTTCCACTGTGGTCTCACTACTATGGTTTAGCTTTTGTAAAGAACCAATTCGCAGGTGTTTGGTCTTTTTTGTGTTTGGTATCATCCGGTTCAGTTTAAACCAACTGTTGGCCTTGTCTAGACTATCATTCAAAGTATTTTGAATATCTGTACAATCAGTTCCGCTCGATCAGATCGCACTTTTCCAAATAGTGTATAAATGTATCTTGTCTTTCCTAAGGGCCTGATTACATGAGCCGGGCTGATTTCTTTTGTTTTCACACTTTGGCGAACACCAAAACAAGAGAAATCAGCTCGGCTAACCGGGCCAGCCCGGCTCATGTAATCAGGCCCTAAGTCTGTTATGAGTCCACCAAGTAAATTTTATTTATCCCACCAGTCACATTCTCCGCGAAAAAAAAACCTCATTGCCGGAAAATAATCAAGACAGACACGTTTGCGTCAAATACAAATCACCCTTCGTTAGGCAGGCGCCCATATTTCACCATGTCAAATAGATTGGACACGATAAAAATAATATGAAAATATTTCATGCCTTCCAACCAACTACTCGACGTAATTATGCAGTGTTTATGATTTTAAAAGAAGTGGAAAGTTTCATTTTAGCTTCAGTTATATTGAGGTAATTTCTAATTGTAAACACTGAAAAAAGAGGCGACTTTCTGGCGCGCGTCGAAAATAACAAAGCTCTAATTCTCACGGGTCGCGACATTTCAAACACTTTGGAATAAAAAATACTGCGGTGAAGCTAATTCTAAGTGTAATGTATTGAGAATACAGTAAAAGTACTTGTACTAATGTTAGTGATATTACTGTAAGATTACTGAATGATGTGAAAGTACTGTTATTAAGTAAGACTATTGTACCAGGTTATAAGATACTTGATCAATGAATAAAGACAGAATATAGTAAGCAATTGAAGAGTGTGTATCTCCACTAAATGAATACACAACACTACACAATAAAGATAAAAACACCTTTGCAAATTAAAGGTAAATGCTGAAACAAACAAAATTTAATTCGTAACAATTAACTTTTGAATTTTGTCTGCGTTTATTTTTGCAACTAACTTACGAAGAATGATCTTCAAGTCTCTCATTTCTAACTTGTTGCATGCCAACTGGGGCTGTTCTTAGCTCCAAATGGCTTGTGTTCAGTCATGCACCGAAGCTGGGTTCCTGTAACTGCAAAAATAATTCGTCTCATTCCGAGGTATCAATGTGAAATGAATCCGTCGCGGGTACTGCGGTCTTCTTTAGCAAAATAACTTTCACTCCACAGCTTGGATTTGTTTGAGGAAAAAGCCTTTGCCTTTCAAATTGAGTTGGTGTCCTATTCTCGTTCTCCGTAAGACGAGCCATATTTCGTTTGAAACATAAATGGATGTATTACACTCTCTCGGCTAGATTAAAATCCAAGTCGAGAATTTAATAAGTAGCGCTCTCCTTTCCGCTGTTTTCCTTGTTTACATCTACTTCAGCAGGGATATAATTTAGCATGCTTGACTATAGCT